TTATTATCGGATTGAACTGCTTGTTATGATAATTATAGAAGATTTACAAATAAAAATAAAATGTTATTTGGACTTGGTTTTAGGCTGTAACAAAACAAAAAATAGAGCTCTATTAAGAAATAGAAGACAGTGAAATAACATAAATATATTTGTTATAAAATGGATCGCTTGTTCTCGGTGGTGCTACGAGCATGCCATCAAAATTTCTTTATTTTTGATCCCACACAATGCACAATGGACAAACCTAAAATAAATTACAATCAAAATACTGATACAAGCGTAGCTCATTATTTAAATGTAACACATATCACATGTTCAGTCGGATGGTAGGGTCAACACATTTAAAACTCATTAAATTACACAAAGCGTAACATTAAACATGTTCGGCTTTAAACGTAAAGGGAGTTGGAAACAGAATCACCAATAAAAGCAAAGACATTTTTAACAGTAAATTTAACTAAGGGATAATACAATATTAATATGTTCTAAATTTAAATAGTATTACAATCTGAATTTATGAATATATTTTTATTTTTGTTTACACAATATGTAAATGCTAGCAGTATTAAATACACACAAACAGTAAAATTATCTAATCTTTTGCTATAAGTAATACAACTTCTAAAAATATATAATAGTGGGAATCACTCCGATGTATTGTGTTTTCGGATTCCCATTTGGGAACAAATCTAAATTAATTTAATTTAAACTAGCCGACCAGCGGCGTAATATACGCCACTATTTAGTGACCGAAGACTTCCTGATAGGCACAGTTGTCCAAAAGGGTGGTTTGAGCAAACCACTGCGAGAGTATGATAGGAATGTGAGAGTATGATAGGAATGTGAGAGAATGATAGGAAGTAACTCTGGAGAGAGCAACATATAATTGTCCATGCGTGAAAACAGGTTTTGGAAGATACAGGCATATCTTTTTGAATGTTTGGCCCTGTGCTTTATTAATTGTCATGGCAAATTCTAATCTGACAGGAAATTGTCTGCGCGTAAAGGTGAAAGGCAAATTTGAATCTGATGGAGTCACGGATATCCGGGGAATAAGGACAGTTTGTGAGGTAGCAGCTGCGATAGTTTTACACTCCACTACGTTGCGGTGAATGCTGGGAACAGTCAGTCTAGTGTCCTTACATAGACCTCTTGCTGGCATGAGGTTTCTAAGACGCATGACAACTGAACCAATTTTAATTTTGAGTTTATGCGGAGGCACGCCAGTAGGGGTATAACTGTTAAGAAATTCTACAGGGAAGGAGAGTTTATCTGCGGGATCGTCTGGAAAGTTACTTCGGCGGTTGGGATAAGTTCCAATACTTGTTCATTCATGTGCAGGGAGTCTTCGTTCGTGACACTTAATATAGCATGTGACTCCACAAAAGTTGCTTGTTAATGCAACTCGCGACAGTGAGTGCTCGGGAGCCACGCAGAATGACGGGGCGTATTTGTCGGAAATCTCCACCCAATAGAATTGTTTTCGATTTGCACCCGCCCTCAAATTTTCGATTTGCACCCCCCCCCCTTAAACTTTTGATTTGCACCCCCCTCAAACTTTCGATTTGCACCCCCCCCTCAAGTTTTTCTCAATATATTTTGCTATTGTTTGCCTTGGTGTCACCCCCCTAAATGTTGTCACCCGGTGCTGTCCGCACCCCCGCCCCCCACCACGCTACGCCTCTGCCCCCACCCCCCTGCTATTTTCTTTTTAAAGCAGCGATTTTTAGAAAATATTTAAACCTATGGGCTTCTCCAACATTTAATGTAGACATATTGATGAATTATTTTATAACAATTTAGTAAACAACTTTTAATGCAAATAAAGGCTTAAATTCAGTTTCTTAACATGAGTGTTTGTTGAACATGGAAAAGTGTCATCTTACTTTCTGAACCCCTCCCCCTTGACAGGAAGGTCCAAATCTTTCCCACCACCGCAAAGTCTGATGTCTTTTATGGACGACCACTACAGCATTTTGCTATGATTATAAACCCAATTACATTTGTTGTTGTGATGGTATCTCTGTCATTACAATTATTAAATAGTTTATCTTAGCTCAACATTTCCCCTAACCTCATTTGCTATATCTGCCTATCCTTAGTATAGAAAATATATTTTCCTCAAATATCTGGAATGCATCTGATCAGCAAGTCTTTTTCTTTTGTAATAATATAAACAATTACAACATGTTCATAAACTTGCACGGCCAATAACAACACTTTACCAGGAAACAGGCAGTGATAATAGTTTGCTGTATTTGTGGTTGATGGTTAGTTATCAGCCATGTTTCTCTAAGCTTGGTCTACATTTATACGCTATTATGGCTAGTATTGACAAAAACACATATTCTTGATTCTTCCCTTATCATTATGTTTTACAGCTATGATAGATATAGTACTGTATTTATTTTTAACATTGTAGAAAGTTTAAGTATTAGTTACACAATACCAAAGTTGAAGGTTAAACCATAACATAAGATATTTTAATAATTGTTCGTTTTGAACGAGATATAATACAAAGTTGAAAATTCTAAATTAAAAAAAAATGTATACTTGTTTGCCGGCATTGCCCTTTTATTATTATTTGTATAACTATGAGCAAGCTGTCTTATGGGAAATTTTCATTCCTTATTTTCTTCTTGTAATACAATGGGTTTCATATTAGCATGTTGCTTTAGACTAGGAATAATATGAGCAAATGATATATTACATATTCAAATACACTCAAATGTAAATAATATGCAAATGAAAGTCGTATAGTGGGACTACATATTTGTGAACACATTTGCTAAAGCAAAAGTTCTTGAGTTTAAATCTTAATCCTTTAGGTTGTCTCTGATTAAAATTTAAAGCATCTTTAACTTGTACCTGAATGGTTATGGACAGAAAAAGCTGTTAGACAATTTTTATACAACTAAAGTGAACATTTAAAACATAATTTTATGTAAGAAGATTGCGTTTTTATTTTTGTTTTCAGTTACAGATAAAAATTAAATTTGTCTTTAAATATTGTCATGACTTTCTGATTGGTTGCTATACACGTGACCGTATATGAGATTGATAATGGTAAAGACAGTTGAATCACAACATCGTTGAGCTGTCTCATATGTATATGGTACAGTGTGAAGCCTTTTTTACAAAACTATAAAGTGAACGTGTTCACACACCTCTAATTAGTAACTGGCCAGTAAAACACCGCATCAGCCACCAATTAGTAACTGGCCAGTAAAACACCGCATCAGCCACCAATTAGTAACTGGCCAGTAAAACACCGCATCAGCCACCAATTAGTAACTGGCCAGTAAAACACCGCATCAGCCACCAATTAGTAACTGGCCAGTAAAACACCGCATCAGCCACCAATTAGTAACTGGCCAGTAAAACACCGCATCAGCCACCAATTAGTAACTGGCCAGTAAAACACCGCATCAGCCACCAATTAGTAACTGGCCAGTAAAACACCGCATCAGCCACCAATTAGTAACTGGCCAGTAAAACACCGCATCAGCCACTAATTAGTAACTGGCCAGTAAAACACCGCATCAGCCACTAATTAGTAACTGGCCAGTAAAACACCGCATCAGCCACCAATTAGTAACTGGCCAGTAAAACACCGCATCAGCCACCAATTAGTAATTGGCCAGTAAAACACCGCATCAGCCACTAATTAGTAACTGGCCAGTAAAACACCGCATCAGCCACTAATTAGTAACTGGCCAGTAAAACACCGCATCAGCCACCAATTAGTAACTGGCCAGTAAAACACCGCATCAGCCACCAATTAGTAACTGGCCAGTAAAACACCGCATCAGCCACGAATTAGTAACTGGCCAGTAAAACACCGCATCAGCCACCAATTAGTAACTGGCCAGTAAAACACCGCATCAGCCACTAATTAGTAACTGGCCAGTAAAACACCGCATCAGCCACTAATTAGTAACTGGCCAGTAAAACACCGCATCAGCCACTAATTAGTAGCTGGCCAGTAAAACACCGCATCAGCCACCAATTAGTAACTGGTCAGTAAAACAAAGCATCAGCCACTAATTAGTAACTGGCCAGTAAAACACCGCATCAGCCACCAATTAGTAATTTGCCAGTAAAACAAAGCATCAGCCACTAATTAGTAACTGGCCAGTAAAACACCGCATCAGCCACCAATTAGTAACTTGCCAGTAAAACAAAGCATCAGCCACTAATTAGTAACTGGCAAGTAAAACACCGCATCAGACACGAATTAATAACTGGCAAGTAAAACACCGCATCAGCCACCTAGTTTTGATTATTGCATTACTAAGGTCCTTGAAATAATTACATTAACTAAATATATTCAGAGTTCAAAGAAACAAATGAGCACAACTTCATAAGATCTACTGTGGTCTTCTGTGATTTATTGTGGTGTACTGTGATCTACTCTTATCATTGTCGGTACGTAAAACTTTAAGGTATTTTAGAAAAATTAACACATTAATAAATCTTATTTAAAATCTCTAAATAACAATTTAAATTGGGTAGAATGCAGGCGGGGGGGGGGGGGAGGGCGGGGGGTGCGGACCGCACCGGGTGACACCATTTAGGGGGGTGACACCAAGGCAAAAAATAGCAACATATATAGAGAAAAACTCGAGAAGGGGTTGCAAATCGAAAGTTTGAGGGGGGGGGGTGCAAATCGAAAACTTGAGGGGGTGCAAATCGAAAGTTTGAGGGGTGGGGGGTGCAAATCGAAAATTTGAAAGTTTGTCCCTGGGAAGTGTCTCTATGGGGTGACACCATTAAGTGCCGCACCGGGTGACGCCCGACCTCGCTACGCCACTGGTAGAATGCAAGTAGTAATTAATTAAAAAACATGACAATACAACATTTTATAAATAAAAAAATGTTTATTTGTGGTAGTTTAATTCTGTTTTAGCTGATAATAGCAAAAAAAAATAAAAATAACAGTAAGTTTAGGTCTCTACACTTACTATGCGCTCCTATTCATACGTTGTACGTATTCTTAATTGTTTTTATATTAACCGACAATGTATATAGTAGTGTTTTCTTTTTTAAAACTTCTGTATATGAAAATTAGATACGTAATAAAAAGTAGAAGTGTCAAAATTTTAGCGATACTTTTAAGATTTTTATATTGGTTGAATTGTGCAAGATGTAATAATATTTAACCATATTTAAACAATATTTAAACACTATTTAAACAATATTTAAACACTATTTAAACACTATTTAAACAATATTTAAACAATATTTAAACAATATTTAAACACGATTTAAACGACACGCGGAAACTCGCACAAAACCTGATAAAAGTTAATGCAATAATACGTGATCATCTCCCAGTTAAATTTCCTTGACAGATACACACATGCATAGTCTGTTCCAATCCTCGGCTGATCCTCAGACAACATCAAAAACGGTGCAGTTGTTCCACTTTGCCTTAGTTTATATCCTCCTGGTGGGATATCTCTGTAGATCCCGATATAGACAGAGTTCACATAGCTAGTGGTGTTTAAGTACGCCAGTACTGCCGCGTATTCTTCAGCGTCGTCTATCTCAACAATGTAACCTCCGTAAATCTTGCACACATTCTCCGCAGCGTCGACATCCATGTAGCCGTTTCTGGAAATTGCGAAGGTGGAGTTGTTGTGACGGAAACCTGGACTAAACAACAACTGTTGCATGTATCTATCTCTGGCCGTGTTGTAATCTTGTGTTGTCTGGTTGATGTTGGATAGGTCGAGAGTAAGATGTGCCAGTTTTTCATTGGACAGCTTCAAGTCCTGATCTAGTTGCTGTATCTTGTCCAGGAGCTTGTCGTTGGCAGGATGTCTAGTTGTGACGTCAGTTTCAGCAATCCAATCGATATTATGTCCGATAGCATCTGGACCTTGCACTGTACACAAGTAGTGTCCAGCCTGCACATCTCTTGGATGGTCCCAGTGTAGTTCCAGAAAAGAGTGACCGGTGGGTTGAATGGAACCGTTGGCGGTGAGACCTTCTGACGACAGGACATTGACCCGTTGACCTAGAAACGTGACCACAGAGGCCAGCTCTGTGTAGGAACTGGAACTGTTGGCAGCACGTGATACGATGATGGACAAGATGGCGGACATGTTCTGCTGGCTGGTCTGGTTGACGTCACACCTAACGGTCAATGACGTCAGACCCAGGTCTATCACACCTGGGTTGGCAGATAGTTGAACTACACCATCTGTAACATGGAAATGCTGATTAAGCCCCAACATATTGAATTATTTAAAATTTCTTTTAAACATATGCAACACATTGTACTGACCTCCAAGACAAAGTTAAGAATTAAAGTTAAAAAAAAAAGCAGCAACAACAAACGATTCGAGTTTATCTGCAATCAAGCATTTATTGTTACCCCAAGTTATGAGTAAAATATGTAATAAATGTATACAAAAAAACAACTTATATGTACCTGCTGTTTGTATTACAAACACAAAGTATAAACTTATTAAAAGTATTGATCTCATGATGCACACAGGCACGCACAGCATAAAGTCAATCTTCTAGTTCAGTATAGAACGATCTACCAATCTTCTAGTTCAGTGTAGCACGATCTACCAATCTTCTAGTTCAGTGTAGCACGATCTACCAATCTTCTAATTCAGTGTAGCACGATCTACCAATCTTCTAATTCAGTACAGAACGATCTACTAATATAACAGAATATAAACAAGACCATGGTACGGACTAATGGACAATAAAGATAAATCATATAGCGATATCGTAAAATATGTTGACTAATTAAAAAACACAATGTACATTTCACAAACTCGTGTTGATATCAACTGATAAATCTATATTTAGATCAATAGTCAGTGGTGTTATAAACGCATATTAATCGACCTATTGTTTCGCTGCTTATCGAGATTTTTAGTACTTGACCTCATTTTCCTGTCGATTGGTACATTTAAATATTGATAATTAGTCAGCGCTTTTCATATGTTCTATTAATTTACTTGCACGCATAGTTGTGGTTGTAAGTGTTGTTTTGGGTGTGGATGCGGGTGTAGGTGTGCGTGTATGTGTGCGTGTACGTGTACGTGTTCGTGTACGGCAACAACTGGAGCCTTGGTTTCATCCCTGTTTAGTCTAGCGAATTCTAATCATCTAAGGGGCATACCTAAAACATTTTAAATACATTTTTTACAAAAATTAGTTAGTATATACCTACTATAGATAACGGTAGGCCTGTTAAATAAACATATTAACTGTATTCATTGGATGTATGTTAAGGAGTGGAACGGCTGGGTTCAACATTACACTCTAGTCAACTTTTCTTATAATATTCCTCAGTGAAAACAATATTAAACTACATTTGCCAGTTATTAGCTTATGCTTATTAGAAGTTTATTTTTGTTAAAAAAGTAGTTTATATAAGAAAGTCACCAATGTTCAGGTCATGAATTTCAATAGCTAGTTAGTATCACGAATGATGGGGCAGTTGTTGACCATGCAAAATTAGCTGGTCACTCTTATTACTCAGGTTAAAGCCAGTTAACGTTACAATTTATGAACATAATTTGAAACCTTTTAATGTTGCTGTGTTATTGATGTTTCTTCCATATTCTTACATTTTGAGCTACCTCGCCCTGCCCTTTCAGTAGACGACAATACAACCTTATTAAAATACCCCCCCCCTGCCCTTTCAGTAGACGACAATACAACCTTATGAAAATACCCTGCCCTGCCCTTTCAGTAGACGACAATACAACCTTATGAAAATACCCCGCCCTGCCCTTTCAGTAGACTACAATACCACCTTATGAAAATATCCTGCCCTGCCCTTTCAGTAGACGACAATTCAAACTTATTAAAATACCCCGCCCTGCCCTTTCAGTAGACGACAATTGAAAATTGAAAATTAGCCACTCGTACATTTGAAAGTCACCTAATACAAGCACTGGGTGACTCACTAAGTTACTGTCTATGCTTGTTTAATACATCTAACAATTACAAACGTGCAATAGACCAAAATCATGAGTTAAGCTATTTTGATTTTCAACTATAAATCAAACATTCTTTTTTTATCATTTAGTTGAATCTGCTTATAAAACCAACACTTCACTTTGTTTGTTAATGTTGTGCATTAAAATGTTTGTATTATCTCCCTTGTGTTTTGTTTTAAAAATAGGCGAGTTTTTAACCAAATACTTCAATGTTGTTGCAAAATCAAGTTTTCGTTTTTGTGTAATTTAATTAAAATCACTCACCGAAATAATATGGTAGAACACACTTCGGTGACCGCCCATGTGTCAGAGACGTAGAGGGGCGCTCTCAGGGCCCCCAACCCCCGATTACACTACCGCATAGGCGCGGCGTACGACCCCTGGCTCCTTAAAATTAATAGGCGCCATCGTGCCAAATAGCATCCTGTTAATAATGATGCTGATTTCGTCATTCACTAATGTGACACAAATGAACAGGATTTTTTATTTAACACGTAAAAAAAGTATTTGACGTGTTTTAAACATCAGTGTGACAGATCAATATACTAGCGTTACTAATGGTCTATTATTAGATGCTCGATCTCAATTTCTGACTGGATTATCTAATAATAGATGCTTTTGCATCATTCGCAAAGTGACGAAACTCTACAGTAGGTTCATCATATTCAAAAAGTTATTTTTTTTTCATCTTTGGCAAGGTGAAGAAATTGTACAGAAGGATTTCCTCGCGTTACAAAGTTATTTTTAGAAGCCGGTTGTAGTTTTCCCGCTGAAAATAGTAGTGCCCCTTACTCTCTATGCAGGACGCTCGATTAACGGATGCCAAGTGCCAACATCGTCGATCTAAAACTCTGTGCGCCAAACAGTGTATTGACGAAAGTTGTACCGTATATGGCGCTGCCCATAAGAAACTTTAGTTTTCTTTTTCGCAGAAATATTCTCGGGAGTATTCTCATCTACTCCCTAAAGTCTCATGGCACTCGGATGAACCGCCTCTGAGTTTTATTTTTTATATACCGTGTATAGAGAAAAAAAAATCGCTCATCCCCAAGGATCTTGTCAGTGTAAGGATTTTTTAATACTTTATTGCACTTTGTTGCATTTATATAATTATTTATGTGGGGGAAAAGATGTGTTAGGCTTCAGTGTAATCAGTTGTCTCTGGTGTTTGCAAATATTAATTGAGAAATATATAAATATATATTTGTTTCCCGTTAACTTTAGGAACTAGTTTATTTGTGTGTAAATATTATGTTTGGAGTGTCTTTGCAACGAATTGTGAAACCACCTGATCCGGTTCTTCGTATCACACAGTGTGCTGGAAGTAAAGCATCACTAGCACCATAGCTCGTATGTCAAAGACGATTTTGTCATGCTTTTAGTTTGTTGTGGCACCATTGTGTTTCTATTGCATTTCGATTTTTTAGACTTGTCCTCCAAATGTGGAGTCAACAATTAATTATTGATGGGGCGCGTTAGGTTTTATTACAATTGAAACGTGCAAAAAATAAGAGTTGTTTTCAAATCTTGACGTTATAGGCCTACACCTCATTGAGTCGGAAAAACATAGTTTTGCAATGCTGTCCGTATGTCTGTGTGTGTATATGTCGTGTATGTGTGATTGACCAGTGCCGGGGGCAAGTTATTTAGCGCCCTAGTCAAAAACTTATAAAAACCCACCCGCCTTATTTGAACTTATCCCTAAAGAGGTCATTTGCTTGCAACTCAACGACCTCCAGCTGCAGTTTATCTGGGCAACTGGCCACATTTGCTTCAAATTGGTTTTGAAAAAGTCTCACTTCTTCTGTCTTTGAATGCATGTGAGAAAACCGCTACTGAAAAAGCAGCTGGAGGTCTTTGATAATCTCGCATGCAAATGACTTGGGGAATGCAGTTGTTGCGTTAGCCGTAAAGACCTTTCACTGCTGAGAATGCGTTAGGTTGTTGGCCTTTAGGTAGGTGTATAGATCAAAAACTATATTTCCCTATCTTGTAGTTTTAGGTTCAGAAAATTTAACTGACTAGTTATGTCTGCAGCAGAGGCCAATTTCTATACCCACTCTTCATCAGACATTAATAGCTGTGGCTTGCCTTTACTTTCCAGGAAGTCACCTATTTCCTTTCTTGACTTAAATGCTCTGCTCAGGACTTTCTCGCAAATTAGCCATCTTTCTGCTGTGAAATTTGGTAAATCTTCATTTCCACCATCAAAAGTCAGGTAACTGAGGCTAGTCCAGTATAAACAGCAAATGTTTTTTTTAACTCATTGAATATATCCTCTGTGGTAACAGTGCCATACATATTATGTAGGGAAGCCAGCTCTAGTGTTATGTTCATATCTTCAACCACACCTCTAATGAACACAAGCAGTTGAGAGGTGGAACAGCTGCCCAGCGACTCATCCATTGCTATTGAAAAATGGCGAAACTTGCTTGCATTTTTTCGCTTTTTTTGAGTCACAATGTTTTCACCGATGTCTGCAACACGGCAGACAATGGTATTTGCAGCCAAAGCTACTTTTTCAAGTTGTTTTGAATTTTCTGGGCAAAGTTCCTCAGCCACCTCGAACAAAAAATTGTTTTTCCGTGGACATAAAGATCACCGAGGGCCGGACCAAAGCACCTCGCGGGCCGTATTCGGAGAATGCAGAACACGTTTTTCAGGCCTGTTCCTTATATAGCCAGGCGCTTCCAAACACTGACCTCTATACATTCCACTCAAGTAAAAACTATATGGGGCACTCGCGGATATGGAGACCACGGTCGAGTTCATACAAGAAGTTGGACTTGTTTAAATCATTCACCATAAACTAAATTAAGAACGCAGAAGAATATCTAACGTTGAACGCGCATTTACTTGACAAAGCAAAAGGAATAAGCAAAGTGCGATATTGAACATCTATATTGTAATAAAACACTAACATATTAATGAAATGTGTTTGTTCTTTCAAACTCCTTGATCTTGTTTATATATATATATATATATATATATATATATATATATATATATATATATATATATATATATATATATATATATATATATATATTTTTTTTTTTTATATAAAGGCCCACGTCCTTTACAGTCTTTTTTCGACCCACACATTTTATTTTACATATGTACATTCTATTTTACTGGGTTTTTTTTTAATCAAGATCGGATCATAGGTGCATTTAAATAATCTGAAATCATTTTTGAATATAACATTTGTGAAAGTTTTCAATCTTAATTACTTGCTACAAACAAACGCTGTATTAACGACGACAACAGACGTGTAAGAAGATTTGCAATGCATATATAAACAAAAAGTCAGTGACTAACTGAATAGATTATTATTGTTTTTATTTGCACAGAAGTTTAAAGTAATTGGCATTAAAAAATACAGCATAATTATGGTATATTTATCCACAGCTGAGTGAAATATTAGCTTTTAGCTTTATGCTAAATGCAAGTATTGAAAACATATTCATCTAAAGAAATTGATTGAAAATGAGTACACTTATTTGTTAATGGTCAAATTTGAGAATAAAATAACAAATTATTCTCTCTCGAGAGAGTTTTTGAAAAATTAAAAAAAAAATGAAAAACGTTACTAGTTTATGAAAGCTTGATCATTTATACCTGTTTCCAAAAACAATGAATCAATCGCCATTTAGCTTTGACAAATATTATAATTTAAGTTGCTGTGACAGATTTTTGGCATCCTTCTTACCGAACAGTGGAAATAAATCATCAGATAACCTCATGTTTTCTTCAGATACTCATTTAATCACGTTTAACCATGATGTCAATATTATAGTTATATTTTACCATTCACTTGTTATAGTTGTAATAATAGTTTATCTTACTTGTAAGCTGAAATTTAAACTAAAACATTACAAATCTCACAAAGAAAGCAAATTTTCACCAAAAAAAAAATCTACTAAACCTACATGACGATACAGTAAATCGTTCATGTGCTTGGCAACAGTTATAAAAATACATACATTTTAACAACACAATTAATTTATGATATAAAATGATCAACATTTTTACACAATCCTTGAGCAAACAGCGCACCGACTAACGCGTCTCCTTAAATTGTCAGCCTTGAGGGTCTGGCTGGATGGGGTATTGAATTGCTCGTTAATTTCTATAGTAGAAAGCCAGTAACTGCGTTTGTCGGCAACATGTTGGCAAGTGCCTCCAGCACCGTTACACTCAATGAATGGAGTTGCATGGAACTCCCCAAAACAACTTCCAGGGCTAGATAAGGATTGCCCACCGCCACTTAAACCTGCCGCTGCGTGCTGTGAACAATTATTATATCGATTTCAGAAATTGATTAACAAGTTAATGTTGCTTTAAAGAATTTTCAATTATGTTTCAATATGTTCGTTTAGTGTTGTTTTATTTATATTTTTTCAAATGTTTCAGTAATTTAGTTTATGTTGCTTTACATAATATTTCATATAATTGTATATAATTGTCAGTAGTTAAATATAATGTTTCTTGAAACAATATTTTAATATTTTAGTAATCATTATTTAAAGTTGATTGATTTTTTAAATCAGCATTTTAATGTAACAATGCTATACTGAATATTCAAATATGTATCAGTGAATTTAATTTAATCTAGCTTTAAAAACTAAGTTAGATATTTTTCAACATTAAAATTATTGTAGTTGATGTTACTTTAAAGCAGGGGTTCCCAACCCTGTGCCCGCCATGACGCCCGCTGAACGATTCGTATGTGCCCGCCTCTCACTACTCGACAGAGACATAATTTTTTTCATAAATATTATTTAAAAATATGATTTATTTTTATTTATTTGTTACAGATTTAATTTTTTTTTGACTGTTTAGGTTTATTAAATATGTTCGATACTTGTCGCAACTTCTTTAGCGGCGAGCCAGACTGAACTATTTACGCTAGCCTGGAACGGCTAGTTCCATTTGCACATCACACCTTGTACACGCAGAAAAGTGAACAAATGGAACGTACGCCACGAACTGATACGCGCCTTCGGCGCCAAATCACAAGGCACACAACTCTGATTGCTTCAGCGATCATCGGCTCACTTCGGTTTTTCCGCGTGTACATGGTGTGATGTGCAAGAAGCATTCCCCGCCTGGCACCGCATTGTTGTCATTGTGATTCGGGTCGCGATAGTTAGATAAGAGACATGTGCGTCAGACAAAACACGAATTAGGAGTTTTCTATTAAAAAAAATTAACAGGCTAAAAGCGAGGTGCGTAATTTATTGTATTCATAAGCGATGATTTTTTTTTGTTTATTATTTATTAATACACTAGCCGTCCCGGCCAGGCCCTGATCTGGCTTCTGTGAAAAACCTTTCTGTTAAAGACCATTACCTGTGTGTTTAGTAATCATCATAAACCCCGCATTGCCCACCCAAACCACAACCAACCAAAACCAAAACAACAAAACGCAAACATAACGCTAACACAATTACAAATACAAACGAAAAAAAAAACCTAACAACAAACCCAACCACAACCACAAACACCTATACAAACACAAAGAAAAAACAAACAAAAAAGCAAACGAAAACAAAAACCTAACAACAAACCCAACCACAACCACAAACACCAATACCAACCAATAACAACAAAAAAAAACGAAAAAGCAAATGAAAACAAACCAAATCCAAACGCAAAACCAACCAAAAACACAAATACAAACCCAAAGAAAAAAACACAAACAAAAACAAAAAAAGAAAGAACAAAAACGAACCAAATCAAACCGCAACCACTAACGCAAACCCAACCTAAACACAAAGAAAACACTAACGCGAACATAAACGCAAAGTGCTCACAGTCTAGCCCGGGGCGGAATCGCCTGTTTTAGCTTAATAAACGACTATAGTACCCCAACTTATTCATAGTCTTTTGCACTCACTTAAACGAACGCGCCTGTTTCAATTTAATGAACAATTATAATAGTCCAAGCTTATCCATAAAATACCTACAACATTTGCACTTGATCAATCCCCGCTAATTATGTAATTATTTTTTGTCCCAACACCAAAACAAAGTAATAAAAATTTTCCACTAATGCAATGGTTTTATGAAGGGAAGTAATTGTGTTTTCCTAATTTATCAAAGAGAAGTAAGTGCTATAGGACTAAATAAAGACATAATTAGAATTTTTGTAAAAGATGATATTTTTTTTAAACTTGTGTTTAATGAACATGCCGAAAATTATTACTTTCAGTTTGATAAATGAAAATAATTTCCCAAAACTTTCAATATTATTTTTTAACTCATAAATTTAGACCATAAGGACTTTAATTATCTAACACTTAAATCCATCGAAGATCCACGACAAACATATGTGTTACATACATACCTGAGCTTTATATATTAGTTTATGACTATAAGAAAATAAGAAAATAAGAAAATAAATTATGGGAAAATGACAAGTTATGGAAGGAGTTTGTCGATTTAAAATAGGTGGTGCCCGCCACCCTACCGATATTTTAGAATGTGCTCTAGAGTAAAAAAAGGTTGGGAATCCCTGCTTTAAAGGATAAGTTTTTTAAAATTGTTTTAAGTAATTACCCATTACATGCTAATATGCTATTGCAAAATAATTTAATTAATTTTACTAATTTTGGGTTAATATTCCTTAAACGAATATATATGTTGCTGTTGTACAGTCTGAACATTATTTAAAAACTTGTAGTGTATATTATCAAGTATTATCATGAACCAGGTATGTATTTATGTATAATCAAGTTAAATTATACAATATTTGTTTCTGTAAAAAAAGTAAACCCGTACCATTACAAATGAATAGCCAGTCCAAAGACTTGACCAGCCTCTTGGACAATCAGGTACCGCCAAGGTCTGACTGTGAACAGCAATAACATTAGATGTTGTTTCACACACAACACATCGACTGATGTAAGGCTGGATATCTGTTGCAGCAACTGGTATTATGGACATTGTTTTATTTGTTGTCAACCAGTAGGTCCGATCACGTGTTGATGCATAGTTGCAACCACTGTTTGAAGTGCAGGATACAAATGGCACAATGCTGAATCTATGTAAACAGGAGCCTGAACTTCCTGAAATAAAAAGAAATGGTTTATAAAGCTTAGTGCTTGAACTATGTAAAGACTTGTTCAATGGACCCCTGCGAGTTTACGAGATTTCTTCTATAATGTTGTTGACATGGAATAAAAACGTGCTTTTTAGATTTAGACCGTAAAAAAAAAAAAACGTAAGCCTAAAATTAATTTAGAAATTTTATATTTTTAGAATAAATGCTATAAAAGTTGCAAATCTAGAGAACTTGAAAATAATGTGTTGAGTTTAAGGATACATTTCTATTTATTTTCATCAAGCCTAAGTTATAACCGGATGTTTCACCTTCGTAAGATATATATTGATTGGCTGCACAGTAACTTAATGATCGATAACTATTTGTTTACAAAACTTTGCAGAACAAGTTTTTAAATAACAATGCAAATTTAAACACCATGACCTAGTTTTTCTATTTTTAGCTTACAATGTGTACAATAAAATTTATGGCGGCCTATCGAATAGCAGGATGCCATTGTTTATGTCGCCACTACACGTGAAAACCAAATTGTTTTTGCTTTTTTTTATGTAGTAAACGAAAGTATTAAAAACATCAGATACATCCAATCTTTACTAAAGTCCGAAAAAAAAACCAGACAGGCAGGATTGTATAGCCATATTAATTGTAACTACACCGTGCATGATTTTTAAATTTATTTATGGACCTCTCAAATACCTTCGAGACTGTTCTCGCTGGTGTCCATTAGAAACGGGTAAAAACAGCGTATGTAGGCCTACAACAAAGTTGCAATATTAAAAATACATAGTGTTATGATGTGAGTATTTTGGAAGGGGTCGATGCTAGAAACTGACGAACAATGAACGACGACGATTGAATTTAAATGAGACAAGACGGCTTTCTTCATTTCTATATTTTATTACATAACCTTTACGATGACAGTCAGGACGACGACTTCCATACCCTAACGCGACAAGAACAAGACTAAGACTGACTTCAACTCTCTTCCTATCAACCCAAACATACTCTCCTACGTCACATACTTATTTCCTTTATCACGTATTTATAATTTTTTATTAATACCACTACACACATACTCTCAAACCCTCAACATATTTTTATTAAACACATTCTACTACACATACTCTCAAACTCATTCAATACAACCAAGTCCATTCACAATACATAGGTGGTAACTTATATTAGGCAAGCCATTACTCAATGTGGCAAGTCAATGAGTCACCGAACCCCAACAACATACGCACTGTGACCTACTTAGTTCTTTTTCTTTATTTATATTATTTAGTTTGCTTGAGTTATGTAATTGACCATGGGAGAGTTGTTAGTTCACCTGATCTCCTCGGTCAACTGAACTCCGTCACTTCATGTGACTTTGATTTTAATCCTTATCAGAACCTCGGCCAATGGTCTTTTGGCATTGAAGATCCTTAACCGATCCTCGACCAATGGCCTTACAACATTACAGTAACCTCCCGTGGTTTTGATCTCAGATAAAAAACTCGAGACACGACTTCTGGAGAAGACTTGGACCTAGACCCCGGGAGACACAGTGCGATGTGTGTGTGTGTGAGGTTTTATTTGAAATGTTCAGTTTGTGGTGATATATTTTATTTCCTCACCAAGTTGTATGGCCATTCCAGTTTATGAGGTATTGTTTAGGTGTATTATTTCACCAAGTTGTATGATTATTCAAGGGTTTATGAGGTAATGCTTAGTTGTGTTATTTTACCAAGTTGTATGGTCATTCCAGTGTTTTTGATATGTTATTTAGGTGTGTTATGACTTACCTATGACTTTGATAACTAATTGTTAAAGATATTTCAGTATCTTTGAGTTATCTGTAAGTGATTTTTGTGATTTATTTATTGCTCAAAATGAATTATACTTTGGTGTTGACTTATTGTCTATTGTACATACTTGTTCACAAATTAAAATAGTAGTTGTCAGTTTAACCTAAGTTGAGTTTCATCTATCCTACGTGTCAGTTCCCCTAGACCAGGGGTCTCCAAACTACGGCCCGCGGGCCGAATGCGGCCCGCGAGGTCCTCTTATCCGGCCCGCGGCGATCTTTTTGCCCACGGAAAAAACGTTTGTTGGTGATGGCTGAGGAACTTTGCCCAGAAAAATCAGACATTTTTGGAATTAAATGGCCCCCGAACTGAAATTTGATAGTTAATGCGGCCCTCGGAATGAAAAGTTTGGAGACCCCTGCCCTAGACTGTTGAAGCAAGCCCACGTAGATGTAGGTGTGCTCATACTGTCCAGAAGGTTTCTGTCTGACTACATTAAACGGACCAGGGGCGTTCGCCTGTTCTGAGTCTGTCAGACGGCGGATCGTAACAGCACACAAACACAATATATATATATATATATATATATATATATATATATATATATATATATATATATATATATATATATATATATATATGTATATATATATATATATATATATATATATATATATATATATATATATATATATATATATATATATATATATATATATATATATATATGTATATATATATATATATATATATATATATATATATATATATATATATATATATATATATATATATATATAGAGAGAGAGAGAGAGAGAGAGAGAGAGAGAGAGAGAGAGAGAGAGAGAGAGAGAGAGAGAGAGAGAGAGAAATAGAGAGAGAGAGATTATGTGTTTTTGGGAAAATAAGCAAATTATGTGTTATCACATCGTGCTGTCTGTATAATTATTAAATCTTTGATCACATAATCTTATCTAATTAAATGGAGAAGGACATATTTCATCTGTAAAATGTATGAAATTTTTGTTTAGTTTGACACCGTTGGAAGGTTCCCACTTGCTCATTAAAATGTCATTAAACGTAGTTGTAAAAAAAAAGAGAAACCACATTTATATAAAGCTTCAATACATTTCAAATTTTCATTTCGAAAAAAATAGTTATATCTTAGGATGATCTATACATATTTTTACACTATTTAAATCAAATATCTACAATCGTTTTAAAAACAAATCCTGGCTTTCCCCCTTAATAAAAATAAAAGCAATCAATACAATTTAGAAAGATAGGTGTTTCCACTAACTAAAAATAGAAGTTTAAATGTAACGTATAATTGGTTATTAAATAATGTTCTGAAATATTTGCAAATAAAAATACTTACCCAAATCTTGAAAATGTGTTCTTAGATTGCCTTCAATATACAACAAACTGTAACCTTCCCAAAGCTTCGTCTGGCCAGAAAAGCAGTCAGGAATATTTGGAGATTGACTGTGTCTCACCAATAAATAACCGGTTGGAGCAGTTGTACCATCAGAGCCAGGAAGACCACGGGGACCTGAAGGCCCGGGCATACCTAGAGACGACAAGATAAATGTCTTGACTGTGTAGTGCGAGGGTGGGGTTTTAAAGATCTTCCGTCACAATTAAGCGTTTCGTGTCAACTGGTTATGCGCCATTGAGGCCATTGACTCCGCTTTCAGCCTGCTTTTCTTTTTGGATTTGCTTCCATAGCCTTTGTCCAACAAAGAACAAACTACAAGCCAGCAGTTGTTTAATTTTGGAGTTGTCTCTCCTAGAAGAGTGGCTGTCCCCAGCTAACGAGCCTCATCTGCCCGAGGGTTCGAACTCGAGACTTTTCTGTTTAGCAACCATGAGCTTTACCGACTCGACCACGCCGACCCCTATTCTCTACCTAATTACGTATTGTACATCTCGGCACATAGTGCAGAATCTCTCCTGTAACCAAACGGGCAAACAAAAAAAAAGAAATAAATAAATATTCAAACAATTAAACACATTTGAGTTTTACTAGTACATAGATGCATTCATCTTTATAAAGTTAACACTACATAGGCTAAGACTAAGATATTAGCTTTAAACTACGACCAGTATGTAAAATAGCTGCCCTTTGTTCGTGCAGAGGCAACTAACTATCACCAAACTTACAGCGTGAACGACTGCTCAACAGACTCATTGGGCGATCGCGTTTAGCTATTTATCTTCTGTGTAACTATTATCAAATGACTAACCAAATCTCTGCTAAGATTACAAAAATAGATATTCGAGTAGTTTCATCGAAGAAGAACGTGTATTTTTAAGTTAATACGAAATCCTTGCATTAAAAATGGGTGAAAATGGAGTTACAAAATTTACAACAAACACACCGATGTTGTAATTTAAGTAAAAGCTTGTAAAAAGAGTTGATACACACCAACAGGACCATCAAAACCTTGGTTACCTGGTTCACCTCTGTCACCTTTTGGACCTGGGAGACCTACGGGACCAGGGGGACCGTCGGGACCTTCATGACCTTCGGGACCTTGTATTCCTATTAAAAACACATAATTGTATACAATCTGCAGCAGTAAGTGCATGCCTATATCATGTGTATGTGTATGTGTGTACAAATAACTATCGGAATATGTGGCTGTTTGTTTGCAAATTTAGACAAAACATTTTTACAACAAAAAAGTCGAAATAGAAAAAGCTATTGTAGACCAAAAGACTACGGACACCATCTTTCCCAGTTTCACGTATGTCACCTTTAAAGCATATGGGACAATGCGACCTGGTATTCCAGGTGAATCAATTAAAACAATTAATATGATTATGTGTATATGTGTGTAATTAAATGTTCATGAACATAAACATGCACATATGCACGTGCATGTTTATGTCTACATGTGAATAAATATGTGTATTAGAAGATGTAGATTATGTGTTTGTGTTAATGTATGTATACGCGTATATGTTTGTGTGTGTATTATTATTTTTAAAACAAATGTTAACTAACTTAAAAAAAATATATGTTAGTACACATTGTACCGAGGTCGCCTAAAACGGTAATGTGAAGGGATAAGCATAGAGCTGGTCAGTAGGTCACCAACCAGTTCTGTGGCTCATGCAGGTTTTACTGAGCCGTAGAATTGGTTGGTGACCTACTTACCAGCCCTATAGAGAGTGAGAGTGACCTCCCCTTGAATGTGGTGTGCTATGTAGAGCAAGTGTATGAACTCTAGAGAAGAGGAGGAATGTTATGTTGTGGAAACAGTGTCAGATCAGATAATGTCATGTTTTTTTTTTTTAATTTCTTGCCATTTCTAGTGGTGAAAACTACATGTGAATGGAATAAATACTCTTCGTTGAATTTGTTCAATTTGATCTTGGTACAAATGCCACAACAATACATAATACCTACAAACCCATGTTTTACAAAATATTCTTAACAGAATTTTAAATTCAGGAAATTTAAAACAGCTATGTTTTATGCAGAAAGCTAGAACATACAGTATTTTAATTCCCACATCCGCGTAAGCAAACCACAATATGCGTATGAGAATGTATTTAAATATCGCTTTCATTTACTCAAATTGTATGCATTATTACCTGTATCTCCTTTTGCACCTGGAGCACCTGCTTCACCTTTAGTGCCAGATTTACCGTCTGATCCTGGCAATCCACGTTCTCCACGATCACCTTTAGGACCAACAAGTCCTGTAAAAGAAAGATAATTTTGTTACAGGAATTAAAATGAGTCTAAAAATAAAATTACGTTGTGTAGTAACGTAGCGAGGGGGTGGGGGTGCGGACCGCACCGGGTGACAAAAATGTACCAGTGATCCACCAATTGACGTAAAATCTAAAATAATGAATTAAACAAACGTTGCTTTAAAGCGAAGATGCTGAGCATTTTGGGCTCAAGAGCTCGATACAAAGCAATGACCGGACAACATTGGCACTCACTTAACATTTGGCGAAAAATAAACTAGAACTTGCATGCAAGATTGCAAATAAACGTAAGAATAATTCGCAGATTTTGTGAATATCGTACGTGTACGTGGCCCTTTACTCCTAGGGACGGAGTGGTCTAGCGGTAGTAAGCTGGACTGCTAACCCGTTAGTCTCGAGTTCGAATCCGGGTTCAAGTCAGTAGACTGTCCCTAAGTCCACCCAACTCTGATAAGTACCTAACTCACGTTAGGGAAAGTAAAGGCGGCTGGGCATAGTGAACTCTACTTCACTTGCCGCATAGACCGTGAGGTTTGAAAAGGGAACTTTACTTACTTACGTGGCCCTGTACGTGAACGTTAAAGCGGACGTGAACGTGTACAATGACTTAGATTTGAATGTTAATATTTTCGTAAACAATAGTTAAGTGAAAACATCAGTTCAAAGCATAATTATACACACCATTTGGTCCACGATTACCCGGCATGCCTGGAAGACCACTGCCACCTGGAAAAAGAGGAAAGACAATAGTTAAACTTTACACTATTTATGTCTATTTTCAAACACATGTAAATTGGCAATTACTTTTGAATATGCATAAGTACGTGTACGTGTACGTGTGCGTGTGCATGTGCATGTGTATATCAATGTAAATGGGCATTTGTTTGTGTATATGTATGTACCTACAATGGCATGTTTAGTGTAGTTTTACGTGTTCAAGTGTAGGCCTATGCTTATGCAAATGTACATGTACGTGTACTTTCACGTGCACTTGCACGTGTTTATTTATGTTGATGTGTATATGAATGTGCTAGTGATTCTAAGTGTACGTGGCCATTTACATGGAAGTTAACTTGCTCGTAAGTGTATACGTGTACGTGTACGAGGATAGGGACGTAGACGTGACCGATGGCAAAGAAGTAGACGACAATGTATAAATATAGGTGAAAAACCTGTAAAAAACAGTTAAAGACACACATTGATACATACCGAATTCTCCACGATCACCCTTGTCACCTTTTGGACCTTGGATACCATCTTGACCTGTTAATAGAAAGACATATTAAATAAAATTATTCTACGTCTACTTGTACGTATACCTGTGATCGATACAAAGCAATAGCCGGACAACATTGACACTCGCTTAACATTTGGCGAAAAAGAAATTAGAGCTTGCATACACGATTGCTATTTTAACCGAAAGAATAATTCGCAGATTTTGTGAATATCGTACGTGTACGTGGCCCTGTACATGGACGTTAAAACGGATGGGGACTTGGACTTAGATGTTAATGTTTTAGTAAACAATATTTAAGTGAAAGTAGCAGTTGAAAGCATAATTATACACACCATTTAGTCCCGCATTACCCGGCATGCCTGGAAGACCACTGCGACCTGGAAAAAAGAGGAAATCCAATAATACAACTTTACACGATTTATGTCTATTTTCATAGGCAAGTAAATTATCATTCAGTTTAGAATGTGCATGTACGTGTACGTGTACGTGTACGTGTACGTGTACGTGTACGTGTACGTGTACGTGTACGTGTACGTGTACGTGTACGTGTACGTGTACGTGTACGTGTACGTGTACGTGTAGTGTATGCGTATGCGTATGCGTATGCGTATGCGTATGCGCATGCGCATGGGTATGCGTATGCGTATGGGTATGCGTATGCGTATGCGTATGCGTATGCGTATGCGTATGCGTATGCGTATGCGTATGCGTATGCGTATGCGTATGCGTATGCGTATGCGTATGCGTATGCGTATGCGTATGCGTATGCGTATGCGTATGCGTATGCGTAAGCGTAAGCGTATGCGTATGCGTATGCGTATGCGTATGCGTATGCGTATGCGTATGCGTATGCGTATGCGTATGCGTATGCGTATGCGTATGCGTATGCGTATGCGTATGCGTATGCGTATGCGTATGCGTATGCGTATGCGTATGCGTATGCGTATGCGTATGCGTATGCGTAAGCGTATGGGTATGCGTATGCGTATGCGTATGCGTATGCGTATGCGTATGCGTATGCGTATGCGTATGCGTATGCGTATGCGTATGCGTATGCGTATGCGTATGCGTATGCGTATGCGTATGCGTATGCGTATGCGTATGCGTATGCGTATGCGTATGTGTATGCGTATGTGTATGCGTATGTGTATGCGTATGTGTATGTGTATGTGTATGTGTATGTGTATGTGTATGTTTATGTTTATGTTTATGTTTATGTTTATGTTTATGTTTATGTTTATGTTTATGTTTATGTTTATGTTTATGTTTATGTTTATGTTTATGTTTATGTTTATGTCTATGTTTATGTGTATGTGTATGTGTATGTGTATGTGCATGTGCATGTGCATGTGTATGTGTATGTGTACGTGTATGTGTATGTATATGTAAATGGGTATTTGTTTGTGTATATGTATGTACCTACAATTGCTGTACGTGGCCGTTGCCGTGGAAGATAACTTGCTCGTAAGTGTATACGTTTACGAGTTCGAGGACAGGGACGTAAGCGTGAGCGGGAACATGGATGTAGACGACAATGTATAAATATAGGTGAACAACCTGTAAAAAACTGTTGAAGACACACATTGATACATACCGAATTCTCCACGATCACCCTTGTCACCTTTTGGACCTTGGATACCATCTTGACCTGGTAATAGAAGGACATATTAAACAAAATTATTCTACGTATACTTGTGCTCGATACAAAGCAATAGCCGGACAACATTGACACTCACTTAACATTTGGCGAAAAAGAAATTAGAACTTGCATACAAGATTGCTATTTTAAACGAAAAAATAATTCGCAGATTTTGTGAATATCGTACGTGTACGTGGCCCTGTACATGGACGTTTAAACGGATGGGGACTAGGACTTAGATGTTAATGTTTTCGTAAACAATATTTAAGTGAAAGTAGCAATTGAAAGCATAATTATACACACCATTGGGTCCACGATTACCCGGCATGCCTGGAAGACCACTGCCACCTGGAATAAGATGAAAGACAACAATCAAACTTTACACGAATTATGTCTATTTTCATAGCCAAGTAAATTAGCATTTAGTTTAGAATGTGCATGTACGTGTACGTGTACGTGTACGTGTACGTAAACGTGTACGTGTACGTGTACGTGTACGTGTACGTGTACGTGTACGTGTACGTGTACGTGTATGTGAATGGGTATGTGTATGTGTATGTGTATGTATATATATGCACTTTCAATTGTATGTTTACTTTTACGTGTACAAGTGTAAATGTACATGTACGTGTACTTTCACGTTCACTTGTACGTGTTAATTCATGTGTATGTGTATATGAATGTGCCAGTGAATTTAGGTGTACGTGGCCGTTGACGTGGAAGTTAACTTGCGCGTAAATCTATACTAGTACGTGTACGAGGACATGGATGTAGACGACAATGTATAAATATAGGTGAACAAACTGTAAACAACAGTTAAAGACACACATTGATACATACCCCTTTCTCCACGATCACCCTTGTCACCCTTTGAACCTTGGATACTATCGTGACCTGGTAATAGAAGAACCCATTAAACAAAATTATTATACGTCTACATGTACAGGACATTTTTAAATGTGTCGCTATAAAGAATTTTTTCCCCACTTTTCAGTGATTTCTAATTTATGAAGTAGACACGACTAAAAAAATACTTGCTTTGAAACACCATCAGAAGCTCGCGATATCTAAAAATAAATTTTATCTGCCAGTCAATGTAGCAATCAGTGACCACAATTTAAAGACAATATCAAGTTGATATAGCGCAGGATTTTTCTTAATCTTGTTACCTCCCATTTCACTTATTTGACCCTGCTCTGGGAATGTCAATAATTGCGTGAACGACAGCTCACTAGACTCTTAGGATAATCGCGTGTAGCTGTTATTTCCCTTTCTTTTATTGAATAGGAGCCGACCCGCGGTGTATCATACGCCGCTATTTAGTTGTTGTTTTTTCTACTTTTCAGTAATTCATAATTTGTGAATTCAACAGTACCAATGCTGCCACTGAAAATATTTGCTTTAAAACACTAACCCCCCCTCCCCCCCTCGTGAAAGCAGCCTCCTCTTAGTTACCTCCTCTAAGTTTAAAATCGTTTCAAACTAAATTATCTGCCCCTAATAGCCGTCAACAAATCCGGCTATATGAATGTAAAAATTTAGAGTGAACACCGCTCACCAGACCTTGCGAGGGGGGGGGGGGAGGGTGGAGGGGGGGTAGCGATAGAGAGGAAGAGAGGGGACTGTAAGGCGCGCTTGCAGCTTGTTTTCTAACGGCTCCCAGAAGAGAATTGTATATATATAGATAGATAGATAATAAGCTAACGAGCGATTTGATTATGTTATCTCCTCTTAGTTCCCAACCCGTTTAATTAAATTTCAATTGCTAATTAAACATATAATTACATTTAACAATATATAGACTTGTATTGTCATTAATGTGGAATGTGTTGGAAAGTTATACAAAATCGCTTAACAAGAAAGATGGTATAAATTGAGTTACAAGATTTGCCACAAACAGACTTTGCGGACTAAATAAAATCTTGTAAAAAGTATTCAATTAATTCACGATAATTTACAATCATAGTTTTTTTTTAAAACTTTACCTATGCACTTTGGAATAGCCTGGCTCCACTGTCGTTCCTCTCCACATGTTAATAATGTGATGTTGGCGTCAGACGATTCATATCCAGGGTGACAGAAAACACGGCATTGACTTTTGAAAAAGTTGAAATCACTGCAGTTCACATCTCCATTCATGACTTCGATCTTTGGGCATTGAATTGCTGAAATACATAAAGATTTATTATACTAGAGCCGAGCAGCTATATTTAGTATATCGTGGTGTATATTAAGCAGTATTTGTTTAAATTTGCAAGATAAACTAGGACGTACGGTAGCATTTCGGTTTCTTGCCGTTCCACCCCAAATCAACGTGATAGTTCACAACGTGGGGCCCATGAATATCGTAGCCTCTATGACAGTAGTAGCTACAGAATCCTCGCTGGCCACCGTTGGTGTCAAACTGGCAATTAACTTCTCCATTATTTATAGTAGTGTAAGTGTAGCCGTCATTGCATTCACCACCGTCTATTACATTAAAATGTGTTCGTCATTAGTATATATATATATATATATATATATATATATATATATATATATATATATATATATATATATATATATATATATATATATATATATATATATATATATATATATATATATATATATATGAACATGGACGCTGTTGGTACATAAAATACACTATTCCAAACTAGAAACGATGCTAACAACCTAATTTTGTAGCTATACACAAATATGAAATAACTAAATAAAAGTGAGTAAAGACTTGACTTGTAAAAAAAAATAGGTCTGTGTGATGAGTAACGGATAAGATTTAGTCTGCTACCCCTCAGCGCCTCTGAGACTGATGAATGGCTTGTGGTGATTTAATGTTTGAGTTTCGGCTGTAAAGAGGGCGTTGGCAGAGACGATTGTGAAAATGTAAGCATATATATTTGACAGTTGGGCGTTTCACAAATAGGCGTATTTGTCAGAGTCACAATTAAAATAGAAAATGTGAAAAGTGAAATTAACATCTTTTTGCTAAACTTGTTTTTGTGTTTATCATTTGACTATAATTATTGCAGATGAAATTCAATTTTACATTAAATATAATTAACTATGCTTCAAAACATATAGCCTATTTGTACTCTAATTTGTGTCGCTTAGTTAATAATTTAAACGGAAAATAAATAAATGCAACTCACCACTTGTTATGATATTACTGCTAACACTGCTAAGTGATAGCAGCCACACAACTAGCCCAAACATTTTTTAATATAGTTCACGATTGCAGTTCTCTTAGCTTAAATGATTTAACGTGTGCCCTTCGTACCGGATACCGCTAAGTAATTTAGAGCAATGACTCTCGGGAAATCATGGTTGAAACAAACCTACCGAAACAATAATTGTAATAAAAATATTTTTCAAACGTGTTTTTGCTCTATAAGATACTAGCCTTCCCGTTAAGTCTCTACTTTATTTTTAAACATTATTATACCCGGCGTTGCCATGGTTTTGGGAATATATTAAATTTCAGATTTATGCAAATAAAGACGTTTAAAAATAGACATATATAACACTAAATTTAACTCTAAGCCAACTTCAACCACAACCACAAAAAATAAACGAACATTTAGATAAAAATAAAACATCTCCCCTAATCACACTTTTACGTTTAATAATAAAAAAAAAAAAACCACATTAGCACGTACATAAACACAAAGATAACAACCTTGATCACAATCTCTGCCATCAAGTTTCACATAAACGCAAACACATACACCAAACAAACATAAACGCTTACAAATCAAAGTAAGTCTGCGTGTCATGTATGAAAATCCGGTGCGCGGACCTTTGACCACAGGTGCTTTGACCATCAGGGGTTTAACCATTGTGGTTTTGACAACAGCGGGGCTTTGATCATATGAGCTTTGACCATAGGGGCAGTGGCGTAGCGAGGTCGGGTGTCACCCGGTGCGGCACTTAATGGTGTCACCCCCCCCCCCCCCCCAGAGGTACAGAGACCCTTCCCAGGGACAAACTTTCAAATTTTCGATTTGCACCCCCCCCCCCCTCAAACTTTCGATTTGCACCCCCCCCCCCCTCAAACTTTCGATTTGCACCCCCCTCGAGTTTTTCTCTATATATTTTGCTATTTTTTGCCTTGGTGTCACCCCCCTAAATGGTGTCACCCGGTGCGGTCCGCACCCCCCGGCCCCCCCCTCGCTACGCCCCTGCATAGGGGGTTTGATCATAGGTGGTTTGACGCATTAAACGAAACGATACATGTAGAGGGTTGACAATAGCTGTAACTTAACGTAAAACAGGCTCCCTTTATAACTCTCAAACGAGAGATGGGGCGGACTTTGTTTCAAGTATTAACTGAGCTGCAGCGTCATGGCTTGTATTTAACTGTCAGGCCTTGTTTGTATTGTTTTATGTCCACTTGACGACCTAGATATGAAATCCCGGATCCCACTTAACTGTTATTGTTTTTTTTTATTAAAAATTACATCCTACATATAATTGCTGACACTTAAGTATGGACGTTAAATGATACGAATACTTACACTAGCCACATTTAACAGCGAATGTACGTTGTGTTAATGTGACCGTGTACTAGGGTAATACTAGAAACACGTTTTTAAAATGGTGGTTTCAACACCTATCTTTTTACTTTAGGCTAACCTAAAATTTAAACTTTTTTTTTTAACTTTAGCTTAAATAGGCGTCTGAGGCCAACAAAAAAAAATAAATAGAAAATAATACACACGTCTGATTTATCGCTTGATGCCTTTCGAGAGATTTAATTACAAACTACTATAAAAATAAAATGTAAAATATTACTAGTATACGTATAGAAAGAATTTTTTGTAGCCTTTCTTGTTTAACACAATATAGATCTACTATAGTTAACTAAAAAAATGATATTTTACCCATGCAAAAATGTTTTTTTTCTTTTTTCTTTTTTAGAACACTAAGTAGATAAACGGTGCTAGGGAAAGTGTTATATATGCATATATATATATATATATATATATATATATATATATATATATATATATATATATATATATATATCATCCCCCCTCCCCTCTCGCCACCCGCCGCTAAATATTCCCACTGGGCATGGGATCCAAACATAAATACTAACAAGTTATCTCCCATAGCAATAATTACACTGCTCACGGGCTAACATAAAAGATAAAGTATTTTATCCGCCAATTGTTGTCGCCCATGAGATGTATTCCATAATGATATTTAAATAACGACTACTGAAGTTACCTTATTATTGGTGTTGAACTTTACACCCTTCCTAATATGTATTATAGTAACATCCCAACCATTGTACGCATAGACACAGACAATGTAAAAACATTACAAGCACCAACACAAAACACTGTTAAATCTAGCGAGTTCCTTAACACTTTCCTAAAATATAATCTTAAATTTAGACCTTTTCGTGATATATATGCAATATAAATCTAAACAGAACATTAATGTTTGCTTAGTATAATAAAACAATTTCTTAAAAACTCTTTCAATGGAGACAGTCATGAAGTTACAGTCTACGTAAGTAAGTAAAGTTTCCCTTTCAAACCTGACGGTCTATGGGGCAAGTGAAGTAGAGTCCACTTATTTCTGTGACCTCGGTATATGAAGAGATAATGTGGTCAGCACTATGCCCAGCCGCCTTTACTTTCCCTAACGTGAGTTAGGTACCCATCAGAGTTGGGTGGAATCAGGGACGGTCTACTGACTTGAACACGGATTCGAACTCGAGACTTACGGGTTTACAGTCCAGCTCTCTACCGCTTGACCACTCCGTCCCAACAGTCCACGTATTGTTGGTAATTTCCCAGCCTGCTATGAGAGGTCTGTCACCTAACATTTTTGACTGAATTGTAGCGGTTGATACTTCAAAATTTCCTCAGTAATAAATGTCACACTAAAACAGAAACAAACTTCACAATACGACTTTATATCATGACAAGACCTAGACACGTCTAACACCTATGATGCTGGACGTCTTGCACGAAAATGACAACAAATCCTCTTAACAATTGCCATACACAAATTCCTACTATTTTCATCATATTGTACATTCGTTCTTTGTACACGTTTTAATGTTTACACAACACACATATTACACTGAATAGTCTCATTCCCAAACAAAATGTGAACTACAAGCAGACTAGACGTAGCATGTGTAACCCAAATGTGTATACAATATCTTACAATTGTTCCAAATACTAATCACCTATTATATCATACGAGCCGACCCGTGGCGTATCATGTGCCGCTATTTAGTTGTTTTATTTTCTACTTTTCAGTAATTCATAATTTTTGAATTCGACAGTACCAATGCTGCCACTGAAAATGTTTGCTTTAAAACACTATCAGTAGATCGTTAAGGACGATAACCCCCCCCCCTCCTTTCTCCCAGCCCCCTACACTACCCCCCCCCCCCCCCCCGTGAAAGCAGCCTCCTGTTAGTTACCTCGCCTAAGTTTAAACTCGTTTCAAAATAATGATATGCCCCTAATAGCCGTCACTAAACTCGGCTCTACGATTGTAAACATTTAGCGTGAACCACAGCTCACCAGACCATGTCAGGGTAGGGGTGGTGGGGATATGCCTATAGAGGAATAGAGGGGGCTGCTAGTTGCGCTTACAGCTTGGTGTTTTCTATATTCTCCAAAAGCGAATTATATATATAGAAGATCGATTGCATCGCATCTAGTTTCTCAGGGATGCCTCAAGGCAGAAGCTCGTGTCTCGCTGTATCACTCTAATTTTATTTATTGTCCCCGACTGGGGGGATCCAAAATTTTAAAACACGTGTAAATCTAAAAGAAAGTCTAAATTTAACTGATCGTACTTCTACATAATACCAATTTGTAATTTTAAAGTCTTTAATTGTTACAACAGAGATTACATATACTTTATTTTTCTGCTAAATATCAAATATTGAGTATAATTTGAAATTCCAGATTATTGTTAGTATTAAAATAAAATAAAAATATGTTCTTAATGCATTGAATTTTTTTTTTAATAATTTGTTTGCTTAGTTTGTTCATTTTCTCATTTAATTCTGTAGTTATCTCCCTTTCGGTGTTTCTTTTAATTAGAAACCACAGCGAATGTGGAGGTACTATCTATGAGTAGGCTAATTATGGCTACATGTTTACATATTAATGCTATTTTTTGTTTCCGGTGCATACTTTTAGCAGCCCGTGACAATAATTGGTTCATAATTGGGACGCGATCGTTAAGGTGTAGATCCATAACGATAATTTGAGGTTGATTGGTAGTAGTTGCATTTATTTACGTTACTGCTCGCACGTTTTCTATGATAAAACCTTTTATGTTGTTGCGTTTCTATGAATGGTCAGATGATTTTACAGACATTATTTTATTTTAATATAGGAATTGTGCATGAGTTTAATTTTGAAATAAATAGAATGTGCGAGAGTTAAAGGGATGTAACAGCGCAATAACTCTCTATTCAGCTTTGCATTAGTTATTTCCCTTGGAATATCCTTTTAATTTTTAAAAAAAAAAACACATTTTAAACCTTTGAAAATTAAAAACTCAACAAAAACCACTTATAAAACAAAAAGTGATATATTACATATTAAAGTTGTTTTTTTTTTAGTTTTAAAATTAAGATTGAACTCTTGAGAGCTGTAGAATTTCACTTCACCTAAGCTGATGATTGGATCAAAAACAAACGTTCCAGTCGCAAAGCTATCACGTGATCATTGCCCAGCCAATCAAAGCCCAAGTATTGTCAGCAGTGCGACACGTCTGCCATACCTAGGTCAAACCTCGCCTAGCAGCAACAGCGTGCAGTGGTTATTTGTTAGTAGACAATACAAAGTTGGATCTATATAGACTTTGTTAAACATTCTAAAAATCAAAAACTATTTACTCGTGTTACGTGTTTTAATATTTTATACTGTGTTTAGATATGTATCAAATTTTAATCAAAAACGAATTCACTGCTATTTTATTCTTGTAAATTAAAGCGTCGTTTAATAAATAAACTAAACTCTTACTCGTCTTTAAAAAGTAAACTATCTCAAGTTTCACGGATATTTGGAGAGCTGAAGAAACTATTTCAATAGTATGTTATGTTAATAAAAAACATGACCAAAACGTACACAACATATGTACCGAAAATGTCTTCCGTTGATGTTTTTCGACAGTTCGAATATGGTAAGTTTATTTTCATAAAGTACTTTATAAAAAACGTCGTGTTCACACACAAAAAACCAGTTGTTGGCTAGT